AGGTGACCACATGGCATGGCAGACCTCTTCTGACCCGCCCGCTGCTCCCCTCAGCAGTGTACATCTGCCTGTTCTGCTCCCTACTCTGTCTCTGGTGAAGCCTCTCGCTGCCCCTGAGCCTCTGGCCTGTACCCCAGTTCTGTATGCACAAATAAATCTTTAAAAATATATATAAAACTGCTGTCTACATGTCAGTGACCTCATGCAATGACTCATGGCCCAAAAATCAAATTGCAAAGTCCAGTCTACAATTCTTCATAATTTTTAAGCTAATTTTTAAACTACAAAATATGTTATAACTAAAAATTTATGCCTGAGCTAAAAATGTTCATAAAAGCTAAAATTACTCAAGAAAATAGAGCATTACTAGTAACTTAGGGCCTTCTGAAGTAACCACTGTCACATCATATTAAATCACATCTATGATTTTTTTAGTCATCTCGCATACCCCTATCAGTTATGCATTCACTGTAAATACAGTGTCCCAAAGGGCTGTTCCATACAGCCTAAGCGTGTGATAGGCTACACTGTGTGGTAGGCTACACTGTGTAGGTCTGCGTGATACTCTTTGCTAGTCCCCCAACAATGAAATCACCTGATACATTCCCATTGTTAAGTAACGCAAGATGGTTTGTCTCCTTTGTTTTAAATTTATTACATATATCCTGTAACTTGCTTTTCTCACTTCACAAGCTGTGTATCATCTGGATTGATGCCTATTGATGTAATTTATTCTTTGTCCTTTGTAGAAACAGTACGTGACCCATCACTGTGGCCACAAATATTTGAGCAATTTTTTTACTCACAATTTTCTTCTATCACAATAGTGTTCATAGTGTTCTATACCTGTCTCCCATTGCACATTAAGTTTCTCTAGAGTGTTTATCTAGGAGTGGTATTGTTAAGTACTAAGTACTATGTGTTCAATTTCACAAGAAAGTTACAAAATGTTGTCATGTTGGATATATAATTTACATCCCAGGCCCTCTCTGGTGGTGCAGCTGGTTAAAGCATGGCACTATGAAGCTCTCTGCAGCCACTGCAGCACGAGTTCAATCCCTGGCTAGGGAGGTGACCCCCATGGTGTGGCAGATCTCTCCTGACCTGCCCACTGCTCCCCTCAACAGTGGGTCTGCCTGTTCTGCTCCCCACTCTGTCTCTGGTGGATACTCTCACCCCCTGCACCTCTGTCCTTGTATGCATAAATAAATCTTTAAAAAAAATAATTTACGTCCAACTTGAAATTGTTATAGATAGAAATTTGCTCATCATCTCACCAACAGTTGGCAATGTCAGATTTTTAAATCATGCTGATTCTATGGGTGTAAAATACAGGCACACTTCACAGGTATTGTGGGTTTAGTTCTGGACCACCACTAAAAAGTAAATACTATCATCAACAAGTCATACGAATTTTTTGGTTTTTTAGTGCAGATAAGTCATATTAATACTAAATCTCTTCAGTGTGTCATACTGTCTGAAAAACCCAAAGATATCTTAATCAAAAAAAATAGTTGAGGCCCTCTCTGGTGGCACAGCAGGTTAAAGCACAGCACTAAGAAGCTAAAGCCACTTCAGCATGAGTCCGATCCCCACCCCGGAGGTGACCACATGGTGCTGCAGACCTCTCCTGGCTCGCCAGCTGCTCCCCTCAGCAGTATACTTCTTTGGTTGGCCTATCCTGCTCCCCACTCTGTCTCTGGTGAGTTCTCTCACCACCCCTGCACCTTGACCTGTACCCCAGTTCTGTATGCACAAATAAATCTTTAAAAAAATACTTTATGGGGGGGGGGAGGGAAGTGCATGGGACTATGGTGATGGCAAATGGGTGACTTGGTGATGGAAAACCCATGGGGATTACAATTGAGATGGGAAAAAAATTGTACAAATGATGTAAAAATAAACTATTATATTAAAAAAATAGTTTATAGCTAAAAAGAAAATGCTAACCATAATCTGAGCTATAAATTGTACAAGTCTTTGCTGGTAGAGGGTCTCATAATAAAAAAATGTAACTGTGAAGGAAAATAAAGCAAAACACAGTAAAACTAGGTATGCCTGTAGTACCTTGTACTTTTCACTTACACAATCTTAATCATCACTGAAACCAAGACTCTTAACAACCACCTGACCTCTTGACAGATCATGGAGTTGCATAAACACACATAGTTATCCTAAATATCTTTCTCTCTACTTTTTCACAAAATTGTCCATATTTGTTTACTCCTTGAGGGGGGATGACAGTCATCACCATATTCTTTCTCTTAAGGGGACCCAATTGAAACTATCAGATGTAAAGAAATAATCATGAATTTGAACATTAAAGTATAAAAACTGTACTTTTCCGAAATATCCTCAGTGAAGAAGTATTTATTTAATAATGGAAATTGGTAAAAATGACCCATCCCCTGAAAATTCTTACGCCTATCCTGATAGTGAGAATTGGGATGAGCCATCTACTTCAATGGCCTGACCAGTGAAAAGGTATGTTTGATGAATGGTTCATCTAGGAGATATAGTGAATGGTGATGGAAAAGGACAGGGTTTAAGACAAAACAAATCTCAAAAAGAAAACATACAAAAAATCTGTATCCAATGCAAACCCTGCTTTAACATTTAACTAAGGGATTCGGAAACAAATTGAGGGAGAGGTGCAGGGAGAGGAGGAAATGAAAACAGTGAATTCTTAATGTTTACTTCTTACCTGTGGCACGAACTGAACTTAGGATGGTCTCTCGGTATGCCACCTGGAGAGGTCCAAGATAGGTTTCCAGTCCATACTCCCTCTTGATTCGGTCATGAATAATCTCAATATGTAACTCCCCCATACCACACAGGACAGTCTGGTTAAAAGATCAAGAAAATAAAGATCAAGGGGAAAAAAACTACATTGTATCATAAACAGTATATGTATATTATTATTAATTCCAATGAGTTTCTTTTACAGTATTTTTGGTTTCTACGCCAAAACACATTTTTTTATTTCCCTGACTAGAAATAATAACTATAAGTGAATTAAAAATCATTCCCTCCAAATGCAAACTAGTACAACCACTATGGAAAACTGTTTGGAGGTTCCTCAAACTGCTTAACATGGAGCTCCCCTATGACCCAGCAATCCCACTCCTAGGTATCTACCCAAAAG